CTGCCTATTCGGCCATGAGCCTGCTCCCAGAACCTTCAAGGTTCTTTTCTTCGGGTTCAAAGGGAGAAGCGCAAGAGACAGCTTTTTTTGGGGGGGGTGGTATGAACAGAACTTGGGCAAACCAGCTGGAGTCTCACATATGTGTCCAAGGCTTTTCATGGTGCAGGATGGGGCCAGCAGTGGAAAAAAAAATCAGAGTGGCCTGTAGACTAAGGCCAGCTGTCCTCACTGGGCTGGCCCAGAAGTCAGAGGACTCTAACAGTTCTATATTCTAACCTGTCTTCCAAGATGTTTTGAAGGGATATTTGTCAGGATAGGAGGATAAAATGTGTTTTATTTAATAGTTTTTTAGCTGGATTTATTATGTTTACATATCTTGCCCTATGGTATTTGAGCTTCCATCTATAATCTTGCGCTAGGGTCCATGAATGTTAGGGATGGGGTCTATTCTTTGTGGAGACAGACATTAATTAAATGATCATACAAAGAAGTGTAAAACTGAACCATAGTGCTAAGAAAAATAATACACCATTTGGGTCTCTTCTAAAATACTCTACTTGATCTCCATTCCCAGGGTTCTCACTGCATATTGGGGTCTCCAGGTTCTCTTGAGCCCTGCAAAGACCTTCTCTGACTCTCCAAGAATCCAAAACACTGACGAAAACATTCCACACTATTCTTGCCCCTTCTGAACACAGAGCTCCAGGGAAATGAACCCCAGGAAGAATAAGAGAGATAGACCAAGGCTGTTCATCTCTTCCAGACTCATTCCTGCTTTTCATTAGGTCCAGAACAGGTGCCCCACCACCACCACTGCCATGGTGGATTTCACCTTTGTACCTACCTCCAGGTGCTCCACAGCTGACCCAACCTAGGAGGCGGTTTCACCTCTTTGTCAAGGTATCCCTGTGTCTCACATCTCTTCTGCTTCCAGCTGTCTAAACTCAGCCTAAGTCTATTTTGCCTCACTTGGCCCTCAGCAGCAAGAGAGAAGCCTTCTCTGACTAATTGGAGAAAAGGTAGCAAATTCTCCCACTTGTCTTTCTGAATAGGCACCCCACATAGCTGAGTCGCCAGACACTGTTAAACATGCGTCCCTTTCTTGTACCCGATATTACTGCAATTCACCTGCGACTCCCTGTCTGTGTATTCTTGATCTCTATCAGCCTCTGTGATGTCTGGGTTAGATTGTGAAACTCCCAGGGGGCAGGGCCAAATCGGCCCTGTGTGTCCAGACCCTGCTCAGCAGAGCAGCAGGCACAGGTAGACACTTAATGAAGACTTTTGATGATGGAGACAGAGGCACAGCACTCTGCACTTAGAGCATCGTGAGAGCACAAGAAACAATCTCCCACCGCCGTCAGACCACAGCCACAGCTGTCCTCCTGCCAGCCTGGGAACCCGGTACATTTTTCCTTCTAAATGAGGCAGGGGGGACATTCTCTTGCTTCCGAGGCGACAACAACAACTACTGCTATAACACCACACGGTGACAGTGCTGCTTTCACCGTGTTGACTGCTTTGATGCTCAGAATGACCTTATGAATTGGGGACCATCATTAATATCCCAGTTTTACAAAGGAGAAACCGGCGGCACAGAGAGGCAGTGCAACTTGTTTAGGCCTCAAACTCGGGCCATCTGGCCTCAGAGGCCTCAGCTTACCCACCATGGTCCACTGCCCCTCAGAGTGAGCTAGTGCAGCTGGAAATGGAGGGCGGAGTGTGGCTGACTGGGCTCGACCCACAGCCTCATGGATCCTTGACCCCCCCGTCCAACCTGAATGAATGGCTGAGCGGAGGCGAGTGTGTGCTCAGTCGGCTTTCCAGCACAGAGCCAGGTTGGCTCTCCAAGCATTTGTTCACATCCCATCCCTCTCTCTCTTCCTGTCCTTTCTTCCCTTTCTCCAACGTGCTAAGCTCGTCCACACTAGGCCGTGGAACCGGCTCTTTCCTCCACCCGGAATGCTGTTTCCCCAGACCTGTGCATCGCTGGGTCCTTCTCATCATTTAGGTGTCGGCTCAGACGGCACATTCTTAAGCTCATGAATTAGACAAGACTGAGAGGGAGGTCTTGGGAAAGAGGCCGCTACCTTCGACACAGTGACCAGGAGCAGCTGTCCTCTTTCCCTCAACACCACTGGTATCACTTTCTTTATCTAGTAGCTAATTTGTCTATTTTTGCATCTCCTCCAGACTGTCAGATTCGGGAGAGCAGAGAGCTCATCTGCTTTGTTCACTCCTGGATACTCAGTGCCTGGAACAGATTTCTGGCACACTGGAGATGCCCGATACATGTTTGCTAAATGCATGCATGAATGAATGGATGCAAAGGCTTTTATAGGCATGCGGAACTAGCTGGATGCTTCAGTTTCCCTTCAGCACACGCATTATAAGCCTCTGGCAGGAAGAGACCACACCTTCGCTGTTGGCAGTCTTTTAGCCCCTGGAGCAGTGGCAAATGACTGGGGAGCTGTTCGGTTCCTTTGTTTGGGCAGGGAAAAAACCAAGATACTCAGCCCCTGAGATTACAGACTGTCTACGCTCCTGTCAGGGCCACGTGTGGACAACTGCTGGACAGCTCTCTCCCTGAACAGAAACTAAGATATTGAAACCTTAGATACGCTCCCGGACACCTCTACCCCTCTCTCCCTCTCTAGAAAGTTTTCCCTATCTCCTCCCCCTTTGTCTCCCTTCCTCATTGAAATGCTGTGGAGAAAAATGAGCAAAAATGGGAAAATGTGTTCCCCGCATCTAACCCACATTACTCTTATTGCTTCTATAACCCAGTCTCATCTTAATCTCCTGGCTCCTGCACAGATAAAGCAAACCCCCAAATATAATAATCATATGCAGGAAGTACTTGATTTGGTCCAGTCCTACTGCCGACAAGATATCCTATTTCTCCCACATAGAGCCAATTTCTTTACTGGTGTTAGCTTTTTTATTCAGTGCTTTATTATGACACATCACAAAAATAAGGAAAAAGAAAGGAAAGCTTCCAACCTCCGACCAAACCCGGTATCACAGGAGGGTGTTTCACAATATTCTTAATGATCTCGTTCTTTTTTTTTTTGTCAACGAAATATTGCTTTTCCATAATCTAAATACATACCATTATATATAAACCCCTTTCAAGGCATTTTCATGTTCATTATCTCCTGGATTCTCCCAACACATATAAGGGAAAGGACAGGGGACAGAAAACATGGCTCAAATGCACAAAAGTTGGAAAAGGGGCCCAGAGCCATAAAGCGATTTGAAGTTCACACAGCAGGTGAAATACCATCTGGAACGAACAGGCTCCTGTTCTCTACAGACAAGGGTGCTCTTGCCAGAAGCCACACTCCCAGCAGGCCCTGTGGCACGCAGACCTGAGCCAGCCCACATGGGAGAAGGAAGAAATAGCTTCAGGAGTTCAGAAACTAAAGAATTCCTCCTTTTGGAAGAGATGAGGCTCCTGATTGGGGCAAGATGCTGACCAGGCACACCTCACTCTTGCTCTCAGCCAAGCCACTTGCTCTCTGTAGGAGGCCCAGCACCGGAAGTGAAGAGAGGGGCTGAAAAAAGCACTGAGCAGGGAACCTGCACCTTCTCACCTAACAGGACAGTACTTCATCTGGGACGTCAGGCAATCCTCATCACAGGAAGGAGGAATCCAGCCCTCAGCCTCTCTGAGACATTTATCCACACTGAGATCTACATCTTCTCCCCCTCGTAATGCCCAAGCTGTGCCCCCAGTCATCCTCTGCCCCTGAAGTGCTTTCCCCATTCAGAGCAGAGGTACAATGAATGGAAATGTCAGCTAAGCCTGCCTCTCACAGAGCAAGCCCTCCACAAGAAGCAGGGCCACCCAAGAACACCAGCATGGCATCCTGCTGCACTGCCACGTGTTAAAGGAGCACCCAGAAGCCCTCCCTCCTCTTCTGGGAAGCCAGGAAAGAAGTGGCTGATGTGACCGTGCCTGGGGTGTGATTGAATGTTCTTTCTCCAGCATCACTAACTAGATCAGATTTTCAGGTGAACCTTTCCTCACTGGAATTCTGTGGAAAGTGCTGCCACAATTTATGACTCTAGAGGAATGTGCACATGCTATCCATCATTGCAGACACTAGATTGGAAGGGGAGCTGGAAGGGGTTGGGTGAGTATGTCTGTGAAAGTCTGAATGAACGGGGTAGGGAGAACCCTCAGACTTGGGAAGGCTGTGGTCCATGAGGTACTTGCCATCCCCTATCCTGGATAGGGACACTTAAAGAGACATTCTAAGTTGGCATGCTGCTGGCCTGAGAAGGGGAATAGATATCACGAGATTCCCTACTAGCTTCTTTGTATCCCTCAAACTCACTCTCATCCCACTTACCTACCTGCTTTCAACCTAAGAAAAACTTGAGTCTTCCACGAAATGTGTTAGCCAACGGTGTAGTCTTCTTGGACCTAGAATCTCTTTCCATTTCCCCTGCAGTGACTAAAACGCACTGTGAGGATGCAATATACTGAGGGAGGGGGTAGCCTCAAAGTGAAAGACCAGGCACAGGCACGTTGGGTTTCAGTCTGTGAGAACAGGGAAAGAGGACACACTCTGCACACTTTCAGAGAGTGAAGAAGTCTGAACCTGGGACTAAAGATGGGCTGGGGAAAACGTCACTAACAGCAAATCAGATAAAAGTATATCTCGGCAACAAGTATGAATACACCACTAAGTTTCTTCGTTTCATTACTTCTGAGCTCTGGATCCTCTAGTGTGAGGACACTCACGGAATTCCAAGACACTAGCATTGGAAGGAAAGTGCGAGCACTGGGATACAACTGAGCCACCCCACCAGAAACCAGACACCTCTTGACTTAAGCACAAGAAACATCATCGTGGAGCCCTTAAAACTTAGAGTCCTCACATTAGAGACAACATAACGGCTCCCAGGGACAGGTAGGCAAGAAGCGATCTGTAAGACCTGAAGATACCGCAAGGAAGCAGGAAAAGGGGAAAAGGGGAAAAGGGTCTCACCTGTTCTGGCCCCTGGAAGCAAATGCGGCAGAGCGGGGTCCTCATGCCACTGTCCAGGCTGCTGCCCAGCGAGTAGCGATCCTCAGCCTTCCCCTTACAGAAGTCATCTGAGGAGGCACTGCTGAGCAGCGAGGCAGGTGGCTCTGTGGCTGGGCCACCCCAGTCATCGTCCACAGAAGAAGGCGGCAAAGGTGGTGGAGGTGGCAGAGGAGGAGTCTCCCTGCCCACCCCTTCTCCAGGGCCCCTCCAGCCTGCCCACCCCCCGGCACCCAGAGCCGGAAGGGTGTTGTTGTTGGCTGTCAAACCAAGGGGCTGAGGGTCACCGTGCATGGGCAGGGGCGCTGGAGGGGGGCGCCGTAGTAGGAAAACCTTCAGGTCATTGAAGAGCATGCGGCAGCGGCACTTGAGGAGACCCTGGTGGCGCAACATCTGGGGAGCCGGGGTGCACAGTCCACAGCGGTACCAGGCACAGCAGTAGCAGCAGCAGCACCACCAGAACAGCCAGCTCAGGGGCATCAGCATGTGCCCAGTGGAAGCAGAGAGCCCAGGAGAGACAGCTGGAGTCTTTGCAGGAGAGAGGATGGTTTTGGGGGGTTCCAGAGCGTATCTGTGTGATGGGGGGAGTCTGCCTTCTCACTGGAGCCTCTTATACTCCCTCCAAGTAGCAAATAAACTGCCCCAGGACTGAGGACTGCAAGTCACAGATTCTGAACTTCACCTGGAAAGCGCAATAAAAGAGAAGGTTTTCTTGTCCTCCACCCCCACTCCTTCTCCAACCTCAGGCAGTGCTCAGGGTGCCTCCTTTCTGCCTTTGACCTGGGGGCACCAGTAGGGGCAGGAGGATGGGCTGTTCAGGCCTTGAGATGAGAAGGTCTAAATTGTTAGAAAGTTCCCCTGGAGAGGATTATTGGGTTGCTCTCAAATTACTAGGCAGTGGGAAATCTCTTTTTCTTTTCTATGAATGGGTGGGGAAGATTATAAATCAAATTTGGAGTGGACTGAGCTGGGCTTAGGGCAAACTAGCTCAGTGAAGAATTGAGGACTGCATGTTCAAAAGAGAAAAGATTATTTTCCTCAAGTAGCAAAGAGATTGGTTGGGAAGGGGGCAGGTAAGGTGGTGGGTAGAAGAGGTTGTGAGAAGATTTAATTCTCCTGGGCAGAAAACTGGGACAATGAACCCCCAGAAGCACCAGAGTTGCTTTTAAGAGCAGTAGGATGGGCGGAAGAGATTGCAGGTGAAATTGGACAAGGGGCTTGTGCTTTGCCTCTGCAGCCAAAGGGCTACACAGAAGAGGGGAAAGCCAATTGGGAGAATAAGGTGGGGAAATAAGGGACTGGGGAAGAGGAAAGAAAGGGGAATAAAGAAGGTATTTTAACCCTTGCAGGGCCGCCTCCTTCCTGAGCTTTAAGATCCTGGCTAGAGGAAGGGTGTGTATGGATGGGGGTGGGTGGTAGGAGAACGCAGTTGTGCAGAGAAAAGGAGTAGAGGAGAGAGGAGTGTAGGAAGGGACGGAGGAAGAAGTTACATGGCATCAGCCCCCAGCCCAACCCTGCGGCAGTCAGTATATCCGCGGCCCCCTCCCCTTGGCTCCATCAAAGGTCTCTTCGGGAGAAGGGCAGGTCCGGGCGGGCGAGTGACCTCGTGTTCTCCTCCTCTTGCACCGCTGGGCTGTTGTCGCCCTCCTGGTCAGGCTCTGGGGCTTCCCGCGGCCGCCGGGACTGCTGCGGGGACGGTGGCGACTGCTGGTCTGCGTCCGGGTGTCTCCGGGGCGGGGGCTGCTCCGGCTCGTCCTCTGGCTGCTGCTCGCCGTCCAGCGCGGCCGTGACTCCAGGCTTCATGATCCTCCCCCTCCTCCTTCTCCTTCCCGGGGGGCTGGCCCTGAGCCCCCGCGCCGGGGCACCGCTGCCATGCAACCAGAGGCGAGGCAGGCGTGGGGGTGGGGGCTGCTGGGGAGTGAGAATGGGGGGGGGTAATAAAAAAAGAAACGATACTAGTGGAAGAATAAAAATTCGGTTCTCAATCAGGAAAGGGTGCTTCTGGGTGGGTGGGGGCGGAACAGGGCGGCTGCCGGGTCGTCACGGCAGCTCTGCCCCCGCTATCCCCACCAAGGGCGGCCTCGGAGGGCTCTCGGCGCCCCCGCCCCGCCACTCCCTCCTCTCCGCCGCCTCTGGCTGGCTGGGCTCGCTGTTGCTACCTCTCCTCGCAGATTCAACGAGGTAAGACTTGTTTGCGGTGCCAGTTGAAGGTGGGGAGGAGGAAACGAAACAGTGTGGCCGAGGTGGGATGCAACCAGCACTTGGTTCCGGCTCGGTCCTCGCGACTTCCCAAAACCGTATATAAATATTCTCTTATACAAGGCGAAAGGGAGCAAATCCGATCCTAGGCTTCTGCCAGGTGTTGTCTGGTCTTCCGCCGTTGCTCAGCACCCGCCGCGCGACTGCTGCCCCTCTGGCTCAGTTCCCAAAGGGGTGGCGCTGGAAGGGAGGTGGCGTGGGCTGTGAGTTGACCGTCCGAGGACTGGAAACAAGGTGCCTGGAGCGGCGAAAGCTCTCATCTGTCTCCGCCGCCGCGCGCCGCCGCCGCCGCTGCGTTCAGCACCCCGGGCTCGTGGACAGCTCCCACCCAGACCCCACGCGTCACGCAAGTGGGGGCCTGACGCAGACGCCGCGGAGGGATGGAGGAGGGAAAGGGTATGAGAGGAAAAGAAGAACTGGGCGAGGGTAAGGGTTGGGGAGGGACCGGGGGAAAGGGAAGGGAGGGATTTAGGAAGGAAGGGAGGAGGAAGGCAAGTGGGGTAGATGGGAGCGATTCAGGTAGTGACGCGTGCATTTCCCCCCAGCTGAAAAGTATCAATGGATAGTGCGGTTGTAGAATTTCTTCCCGGTGTACACTATCACCACCCCCTTCAAGGCACATACACAGACTTCCACATCTGAACCAGAGTCCATTTCCCTGCCCATAGAAACATTTTAAGCAGCTATTCATCGGCAAGCTTTAGAAGAGATGAAGTTCTGTGATTCTCACACTGATGCTGGGGCTTGATGGGAACTAAGTCTTTCATGACTAGGAACTCCTGAGAAAGACATGTTTCAAACAAGGACAATTTTTGCCAATTTCTTCTAAACTTTAAGTTCCATGGAGCAGAGATGTTTTATTTTTGGTCCATTTTGGCGCCATGTGCCTAGATCAATAATGGCATGAAGTAGGCGCTCAATATGTATTTGTTGAATGGGTTGTGACCATCACCACAGTTATCATGCCTCAAAGTCATAGACCTCTTTCAATTGTGGACCATAAGTATCTAGAGCAATATTACAGCCTCATCTTAACCAATATCTCCAGTCTTTCACTGAGCCACTGGCAAGAGATAATTGGAAATGGATTTTAATTTCCTCTCCCGTTTCTGCTTCTGACTCATGCCAACCTACCCCATTCTTCTCAAGGAGATTTGAGTGAGCAGAAAAGTAGGAAATTAATGGAAAATTAGTCCCCAAATGTGAAGAACAAGAAAAAGAAGAAAGCTTAAATTAAAGTGGCCTGTACATGTACTCAGTGTTTGTAGCACTACTTTCTAGCCTTTCCTCATAAGCACCTCTCTCTCTCTCTCTCTCTCTCTCTCTCTCTCTCTCTCTCTCTCTCTCTCTCTCACACACACACACACACACACACACACACACNCACACACACACACACACACACACACACACACACACTCACCTCCAGGGTCATAGACTTGGACAAGCTATCCCATTGAGTCATCCACCAGCCATGGTAATGTCTTTAGAAATGGTGGGCCCATAGACAAAATAGCATGCAAAATACCTCACCAAAATATCACTGGCATTAACTTCAGCACCGTGAATCATAAGAAAACTACCCCTTTGCTGCCATCTCCTTGAATGATTCATTCCTAAAAGCTCTAAGGAGCAAGGACCTAAGTCAAGGTCTTGGTTAACCCAGTGTGACTGATTGTTTGAATCATGCCTCAGCACCCAACAAGACTGCTGAGACCTGGCCCAAATGAGTAATTTGAAGATGACACTGATGCTGTTAATAACAACAAAATAATATGTACATTACTGGTATCAGCATGACCACTGTGCTACAAAAGGGAATTTCTTTGTTTTAAACAAAAAATCCATTAACTCTCAAAGAAAATTTTCTGTTCTCCACATCATCCTGGACCTGCCTCTGACATTGTGCAAATCACACTCTGTGATAATGGTCTCATTGTATATTCATCCTCCTTTACAAGACTCAGAGCTCCTTGAAAGTGGGGACCAGTATTTATATTTGTATCATCTAATGAGTGATCAAGAAAATGAACACTGAATGAATGAGTGGATGAGTGAGTGGCCTTTTTGTTTCAATAAAGCTACTGTATTTCTTCCCTTCAAGCTACACGCATACATGTGAGTGCTCTCATGCATGACCCAACATCCGCTTTACCTAAAATTGAGTATCAGGGTTTTGTGCTCATAAAACTCTAGTTCCAAGTGCATCATGCAAGTAAATGGGGATGGGGGATAGAAAAACCATATAAAGCCTATATTCAGAGTCACAGAAAAGGGCGATATCCATAAGAGGACTGTCTTTCCCAACCCTTCCATTGAAAGCAAACACATTTCTAGAAACAGAAAGCTGCTAAAGCAACAGCAGGACTGTCTTCAGAAAGACTGAAAGGTTTGAGAGTTCTGTTTTGAATATAATATAAACCCTGAAAAGCACCTCACTCAGTTAGATTCTCCTTATGCTGATGATAAAACAGCAGTTGTGAGCCCCAGGAGTAAATGCCATAATAGAGAAAATGTTAAATCAATGGGTCCCCATTTAAGCATTCTAAAAATATTTACTGAACACTAATCATAGGCAAGGCATTGTGTTGAAAGATGTGGGGAACACAAAACATGAATTGGTTGCAATTACATCTTCAAGGGTCTAGTACTATAAATATACACATAATCATAATAGAAGGTATAAAATAATAAATGCTGCAAAGCTATACAAAGTTTGGGGAGTTTTTAGAATAAGGTGGTAATTAATACTTACAGCTTGGCAGCAATTAGGAGAGGTGGGGGAAGGGAAAGATGCCAAAACTCCAGGAAAGCCTTTTTCAAGAAGTGACATTTGAACTGAGTTAAAACATGTAGAGGTCAGATGAAGGAAGCATATTTCTGGCAGTGAGCATGCTGAATACTTTAGTGCTTCCATTCGATTGAATTGGAGGGTACTTGAAGGTAAGTAACTGGAAGTAAAGTCAGAAAGGTAAGCTGGAGCCAGATCGTAGAAGGCCCTGACCACCACTCTGGGAGAAGATTTGTTCATTGACCAGGTACTTGTGTTAATGGTTTTAAAGATTTGAAGCTGAAGGTGAAGGGCAGAAATAAACTTTATCTCTGAGCAGGTTAATTAACTGTATGGGATTTCACTGCTAACAGGTGAGAAGCAATCAATATTTTTCATTTCACGCCAGAAAGTTCTCAGCTCCTTAATAGATTTATTCTTTTAAATAAGGTTGTTTTCAGATATATTTCATTACATACAGAAATGCCGGGGTCATGTAAATTAGAATAGTAGAGGAATGAGAGACCACAAGGAATAGTTCTCAGGAAGAAATATTAGGAATGGAGAGTTTCAGAAAAGACTTATTATGGAGACCATTGCACTTGTTTTTCTAAGCAGGGGAGCCCTAGAAAGATCCCATGCTAGCAGCTATTACCTATTGTTTCTTCTTTACCTAGACAGAGAGTAATCAAGCTAGAAGGCATTTTACAAAGGCTAAAAAAAAAAGAAGTCCAAAAAGATTAGGTGGCACTGTGCCTAAGATCCTCTGGAAAAGTAAGTGTCAGACAAGGGCTAGAACTTATACATCTTCTAATCCTCAATACAGTTTGCTTTCCATTCTCTTACAGCTTACTCTCTTCAAATATATAGTTCCTCAATAATAATTGCAGAATTACTGTTCTCCTTCAAGTTATTAATAGCTACCATGTACTAAGTCACACATCTTTTTCATATGTACTTAGAAACAACTGGGCACTTACTAAAAATAGAAATACTAAGGTGGCACCCCAAGTTTAACACATAATAATTTCTTGAGGAGCAACCTGGAAATCTGCATTTTAACATGTGCCTTGTCCAAGTGATTTTGTTTTGACCCTTGAAACTCCTTAGTTAGTAGGTATTTTCCACATTTTTTTGGATTAAAAACAAAAACTGAGGCTCAGAGAAACCAAGGTTATATAGTAGGTGAACACCAAAGTTGAGATTCTAATTGAAGCCTCTCTCAAACTAAAGTCTATGCTGTTCTTACAATGCAACATGGCCTTTGAAGTTAGATTTCCAGGTATTGCATAGAATCCCCACACAATTATGTTTGCCATACTGTGTGCTACGTCAGAAGATAGTTCAAAATCCAGGGTAAAGTGTGGTGGCGACTTCTAAAAGGGCTCCCACTGATCCCTACCTCCTGGCATTCATGCTCTTGTGTTATCCTCTCCTTTTGAGTGTGGGCTGGACCGAGTGATTTGTTTCTAATAAATAGAATACAGCAAAATTAATGGGATGTCCCTTCACAGGTCAGGTCACAAAAGACTATGACTTCCCTCTTGTTCTCACTCCCTCTCTGACTCCGCTCGCTTACTCACACTGAAGAAAATCAGACGCCATGTTGTGAGCTGCACAATGGAGCCCAGGTGGCAAGGAACTGAGGACCATCTCCAGCCAACAGTCAGCGAGGAACCAAAGTCCATAGTCCAATAGCCCGTGAGGAACTAAATCTTGCCAGTCACCACATGCGTGAACTTGGAAACAAATCCTTCCCCAGTTGACCCTTGAGGTGACTGCGGCCCTGGCTGACATCTTGCTTACAGCCTCATGACAGAACCTGAGCCAGAGGACCCACCTAAATTGTGCCTGCCTTTCTGACCTACAGAAACTATGAGATAAATGTAGTTATTTTAAGGCCTCTGCACACGCTCACAGCCCCCAGCCCCAACACACATTCAGAGATACCTATGAATATAGGTATGATACCTATGAATATAGATACACTCAACCAAAAAGTCCATTTCCCAGCATATAAGCAGTTTGAGTAGATATTCATCTGCAAGACTTGGTAGAGGTAAAGTTTTGGGAATTATTCATTGAACCTGGGGACGCGGTAAAGTCTCAGTCCCTCATGACTAAGAACTCATGAGAAGAAAATGCTTCAAACAAACAGAGAGATGCTAGCATTATTTCCTTCCATTACCTCTTCTAGAATTTAAGTTCCATGGGGCAGGGATTTTTTTTTAATTTTGGGGGCCCATTTTGACCCCAAGTGCCTAAGTCAGTAACAGCATGAACGTAGGTACTCAATACATATTTGTTAAATGGATTATGACCATCACCACCATCACCACAGTTATCATTCCTCCAAGCCATTGACCTCTTTCAATTATGGGCCATAAGAATCTAGAGCAATGTGACAGCCCCATCTTAACCAGTATCCCAGCCTCCTCCTTATCCAAGCCTTTCACTGAGTCACTAATAAGGGGTAATTCGAAATGGATTTTAATTTTCTCTCCTGTTTCTGCTCCTGACTCATGTTGCTCTACCCATCCTTCTCAAACAGTTTCTAGTGAGCAAAGCAGTGTCCCCAAATGTGAGAAGTACACTATATTTCGGGGCAATTTGTCGCACAGCA